TCTAGCCATTCTAGATTTTAAAAGAGGCTGCCACTGTATGAAAAAAGTAGAGTCAGTTACACTAATTTTGTCCATTTTACATTAAGATTCCTCGGAAAGATTGTCTTCAGAAACGTGGAGCATTCTGGCTCACTGAGATGGTGGAGAAGGGAAAGTTTCTGGGACAGAATGCTCACATTTCAAAGACACTTTCACATTGTAAATCTGGTTAGTCGTGTGCAGTTTAGCACTGCTGTGTATATAGTGGACAGCTACGTCTTTCCTTGAGAAGATGTAGTCTAATCTGGATATTCAGAAGTACCCGACATAGGTTAAATTTAGAAGGAGTGAAATAGTTCTGTAAATATCTTTTTGGTATCACTCATTAATTGTGTCTCTGAGGAATGGACTTGCTGGCCACAACTGGGAGCCTTGTGCCAGCTGTGCTTGTTCCATGGTTTGGAGGAGGTGGGAGGCGAGGAACTGCCAAAGATGTTATGCTGGTGTGTTCCAACTTAGGTGTTTTCAGCCATTTTCCTGTCGTTTTCTGCTTTTTGTTTTACTATGTATAGAGAGTGTATAATGGACAAACTAGTCCTAATGTAACATCAATATTCTACATGTTAAAGAGGTTGCTAGTGTATGACAAATTTGTTAGGAGAACTAGCATATTTTAGATATTAGTGTTGAAATTCATATGAAAGCTAGTCCTCTATAAATGTCATTTGGATTTCCGTGTGTGAAGCCGTCTCTAAGAATTACATAAGCTTGTACTTGTCCACTGGATCAAAGGAAGAGAGGATAGTGAGGAGGGAATGGCTCCAGACCAAACTGCTCATATTTCGAGGATACCCCAAATCCTAACCATTGTGACCTTTGTGCAATTTTGTTTAACGGTGCTGTGTTCTTAGTGGGCAAGCCCTTACCCTAGAGGACTTCAGAAAGTTCATGAAAAATGAAATCAAAAGAAGCTTATCTTGGTGTAAAGAAATTGAAACCCATATACTTCTTAGTACTATACTAAGTATTTTCCATGAACTTTTGGAAGAGCAGTGTCTGAAATAGCGAGATTTCTAGATGTTTAGAAGTGTTTGGTCTATGTAAGAGTAGGAGCTACAGATTACCACTTTTGTTAAGTAGCTTTTTAAAAGTGATAGGAAACGTTTGGAAGTGGAATTGGTAAGACCCTTTGGTGAAGAGTATACTCTCTTGTACATTGTTTATTGATATGAGAGAGGTGGGAGGGAAGAGATTCCAAACTGTGTTTATGCAAGTGTGTTCTAAAATATTCGCTATTGCCCTATATGTTACATGTATTTCATTTAACATTGCTGTAATGTACATGTTGTGTATATGCGGAACAAATGAGTCCTCATTCCACAATATCTAGTCTCTAGATATAAAGAGGTGCTGATATGTGACAAAAGTAGTGTTCGTAAAGGGACATGTGTTGTGTATTTTGTGTTAAATTTCCTGGAAAGACTGTCCTTTGAAGAGGACTTTTGGAAGTGAAGTTGTAACATCACATGGCAATGACTAGGGTGCTCACTTCTACCTTTTGGCGGTGGGGAGAAGGATTTGGAAGAAACGAAGACTTCACTAGACCTACGTTAAGATTCCTCTTTAGAAGACTCTGAGACTACCAGTTCCACATGTATAGTTTATTCAACACTATTGTGTATAGGGTGGACACCAGGAAGTCCTTATTTGAAACATCTAGCCCTGCTGGATTTTAGTAGTGCCCAAATTATGTTAAAAGTAGTGGTAGTGTATAATGCATTTTGTAGCTATCCTTCAGTGAAATTCATATGAAATACGGTTTTTTGGAAGTGGAACGAGGAACTCCTTGTCTGAGTAGTACGGACTGTTGTGTTTGGTGCTGCTTCAGTGAAAAGTTGTGGAAAAAAGTCTAAAGGGCTTTGCACCAGCATGTGTGCGGTGGGACAAGGTTAAGCATGTGCCATGCTGTTTGTCGTGTGGTTTTTCTTTTTTTGTCTGTGTATATAATGTGCATGTACAGGGCAAACATGCCTGCTTTTCATCTCGTCTTCATAGATGTTCAAGGGGTTGCTGGGGTATGCTAAAAGTAGAGTTAGTGCAGGAGTACGTTGAGTCTTGGTTTGTGTTACCACTCCTAGGAAACACTGTTCTTAGACCCAGTACGGAAGTGAAACGGTTAGATTCCCTGTAAGTATCACAGGTGGAGATCCAATGGTTTGCAAGGCACAGTGTTCTTGTTGAGAAGACATTCACATTAGAGGCTTGGTTACATGGGTGGGTTATTTCGAGGATCCCGTGTGGTATGTTGGGAACCTGAAGTCCTCCCTGGAAACATCGGGTCTCTAGGTGCTTAAAATTAACACCCTTGGAAGGAGTTTGTCGTTTCATAGGAATGTTTACATTTTGTGAATGGCATAAATCTTGAGGTCTAGTAGAAAATGCTGACAGCCCTGGCTCGTGGCTGGCATCAGGTTGGGGCGGGGGTTGGCGTGAGCAAGTATGCATCGAAGGGTTCCTTTCCTCTTATAATGTTCTAGTTGTCTATCCGTTGTTATATAAGTGCATGGACTAAGTCCCAAGACCCATCTACGTCTTGCCAAGAAGACAAACCCCTACCATGATACACATAGACTGAAAGTGAGAGAAGGGAAAAATATATTCCATGGGAACAGAAAAGAAAAGGTCAGGTGAAGGCTTCCTCATATCAAACAACATAGACTTTTTTATTGAAGGTTTTTATTTAATGAATGTAAATTTCCCATGTCAGCTAAACAACATATACTTTAGTACACATCTGTTATAAGAGACAGAGAGAGAGATTCCTGTGGAGAACTCAGATGTGGTTTGCCCCTCTGGGTCCCTCCCGGGTGGATTATGGCATCTGGCCTGCAGACACCTGAGCCCTTGCTGCCACTGATCCATGGTCCTGATCGGGGCCTTGACCAGACAGTGAAGCCACGTGAGCCCACATCAGTTTTCTGCTGTGGGCGATCGCCTCGGAGTCCAGACCCAGGCTCCAAGACTAAAGG